GATTCCCCACTCCTCCACTCGCACCTGGATGACCTTGGGCAAGCCATAACTCTGGCACGGCTGTTCTTGAAAAAGATCCGTTTCTGTCAAGAGCTCTCTCAGCCCCACCTACCTCACAGGGGTGGTGGAGAAGGGAAGGGAAAGGAGTTTGTAAGCCGCTCTGAGACACCTTTGGGTAGTGAAGGGCGGGGTATAAATCCAATCTCTCCTCTTCTTCTCTTCTTCGTTGACTCGTGTGTAGAGCATTGGAGAACCAACTGGTAGAGTGGAGTTGATAAGGAGAAGTAAAATCTTTGAATCAACTTGTTTTATATTTGTTATTCACTGCTTAAAAACACAGGCACTCACTGAATCCAGGGCATTATGCAGCCAGCTCATACATGCAACAAGCAGGGGTCATGGGGGGGGGGATGCGGGGGGACGCCATCCCCCGGGTGAGGTGCGGGAGGGCGGGGCCTGGAGCTCCCTGCTGGTGCCCGCTGGAGGTCGCCGCCGGCTGTGGGGAGGACACACTTCCGGTGATGTCAGGGGGTGTGGCATATGCTAATGAGTTATGCTAATGAGTCCCCCTAGCTCTTTTTCTACGAAATGACCCCTGGCAACAAGGCCTTTTCCATTCATTCCTAAGAGGGAGAAAAGTAAATGGGATAATTCCAGTGGCAAAATCCTTTAACTTGATGCTTCACATTTATTAGCAAGGATATTTTGCCAGAGATCTCTGTAAACACTGCAAAACATGTCCACACCAGGCTTCTTTTCTGTTTTCAGTAGAAATCAGTCACGTTTTGCCCCAAGTTGACAAGTCTACAAACTTTTTTTTTAATGGAGGAATGCCCAAAATTCTATAAAACTCAGCAGATTCTGCATGAGAATCTGGATATTACTATTTCTGCTGCAGTTGTGCTAGTACAGTTTCCTTGACACAGTTTTTGAAAGTGGCAGAAAAATGTAGGATAATATTTATTTAGAAGATTTATTTAACTGCCTTTCAACCAACAAAATGGGCCCCTGAAGTGGTTTACAAGATTAGATTTCTTAAAACTGTATAAAGTCAGAAAAAGGATAAAAGCAGTTCTAAAATATCAGGAGCGAAGCCATGTACAAGGGATGATGTGTAGCATATGGTGTATTCCCCCCACTTTTGATCTGTTTGACATACATACCAATTGTAGAGCAAGCTTTGCACACATCCTGTACAGGAAGGCCGGCTGACCTCATTATAATTTTCTGCAGCTTTTATAATAAACAGTAGAATCCACAGGAAATCCCAGCAAGCCACCACTTCTTCCTATCTCACAAATGGTATGAAATCAAAGGTTGAAAATCCTTGGGATGCTTTTCTTTGAAATCTTTCATATATTACGCCTCGCCTAGAATTTTATCACCTGGAACACAGGGGATAATGAAGTTTATGACGCAGAGCCACAGATGTGGTTTTGGAACATGAATCAGAGAGGGAAGAGGGAAATGTCACAAAAACACTATGGAGCCCAGGAAACTAGAATGAATACCAGAATGAAAATTTCGGTACTTTACATCTGTAGTGTGTGCATCATCTCAAAATGTTCTTATATTCCTTCAGGTGTGTATTGATTGATATGCAGATTTATGCAGATTTGATTAGTTAGTCACTAGCAGTGCAGTCCTAAACAGACTAATACCCTTCTAATCCCACTGACTGATGAATTTAGAAGGATGTAATTCTGGTTAGCACTGCAGTGGAAATCAGCTGTGACTGCTTTAACTGGGAAAAAGGCCTAATTTAATGGGTAACTTGTACTGTTTACAAAAGATAGGCAAAGAAAGATTGATAGGGCTATAGAAATGTCAGTGCTTTATTTGTACCAAAGAAAAGGCCAGTACTCATATATAAAGTTGTTCAGATTTCCACCAATCCTCCCCCCCCCCCCCAACTTGGAAAAAACCAGGAAAAAAATTCCATCCCTCCATCACCAAAAAAGCTCTGATAAGAGTAAAGCATTAAATACAGTGGAAGTACTAGCATATAAATTAATATAGTAGTAGTAGTAGTGGTAGAAAAGTATATTTATAAATTGGAAATAAATAAATAATAAATAAATAAATTGTGTAGCCATTGGCCATTACAATTTAAAACAGTATACAAATTAGACAACTTACAGCACTGGAATTTGAGTTAGATTTAAAATATAATAACACATATAAATTAATATAATTGCAACCTTAATTAAGGTTCTTTATAGGCTGAAAAATAATATCAAGTTGTACTTATTCCTTGCATATGCAATTTAATTTTTAAACATGGTGGATTGCATTGGTTTTAAAATTTATTATAACTAGATCAAGGTTTCACCTTTTGCTTTGTTGGTTTTTAAGTGCTTTTTTTTTTTTAATTGACCCTGCCTAGAACCTTTGGAGCAGAGTGGGCTAGTTCTTGTAAATAAATAAAGAAGCAGTACTTTAGAAAGCATATTTATGTTCCATATTTGGATGAATCATGGGAAAGCATATTTCATATTCCTGAGATGAAGCTTGAATATTTATTTATTAGGGGTATTATTTCTGTTTCACATATTCAAGATATCATAGAACTTTTTTGTCTAGCTCTACCTACTTCATTTGATGGCACAAACTGGTCATGAGAAATTACTTTTTATACATACGCTAAATTTCCAGGTTTGGCTTACATTTTCTTCTCCAATGCAAGAATCTTTGACAGTTATCGGAAGTAAATTGCCCATGTGACAGCAAAGGCTGTGGAACTGATTGACTGAAAGCTCCAGAACATTCCAGCTACTCAGGGAATAAATCAGCTGGAATAGTTGCCTTCAGTGATTTAAGAGAAGGGAACATTGTTAGTTCAGCTGACATTAAGAAGAAGAGTTGGTTTTATACCCCACTCTTAACTGCCTGAAGGAGTCTCAGAGTGGCTTACAATCACCTTCCCTTCCTCTCCCCACAACAGATACTAGCAGGCTTCATGTGGAGGAGGAGTGGGGAATCAAACGCCAGATTAGAGTCCACTGCTCTTAACCACTATACCACTGCTGTCTCTCTAAAACATCACATATACCAAGGAATAGCTTTATGGGGCAAGTTGAGGACTTGGTCAAGCTCCCAGGAGGTAGAGCAGCATTTGGCAAAGTACTGAAAGGAGCCTATTGGCTGGAAGGAAATTGTCAAATACAGTTCGGTAATTTTAGCCTCTGATCCTGCATGCACCCACCCACAGCAGTGCCACTAACTGATGAAAGAACTATAGCCTGCAAGCCAATGCATATTTACTTGGGAGTAAGCCCAGCTGTGGAGCTGCGGTGGCTCAAGTGGTTAAGACGCTGAACTGCAGGCTGTGGAAGGTCAGTAGTTCAGCAGTTCGAGACCCGGGTGCCGCATGACAGAGTGAGCTCCCGTCTCTAGTTCCAGCTCCTGCCAACCTAGCAGTTCGAAAGCAAGAAATTGCAAGTAGATAAATAGGTACCACTTCGGTGGGAAGGTAACAGCGTTCCGTGCGCCTTGGTGTTTAGTCATGCCGGCCACATGACCACGGAAACGTCTTCGGACAGCGCTGGCTCTTCGGCTTTGAAACGGAGACCCTAGAGTCGGATTCGACTGGCTTTCGAGCAAGGGAACCTTTACCTTTTTAAGCCCAGCTGTACTTATGGGTAAACAGGCACAAGTTAGCACTAGCTGAATCTGGAAACGGAGGGAAATATGAGTGATACACTAAAAAACATAAATATTTGCTGTTTGTAACAGTATATTAAGATGTGTGTAATCTAATGTTCTGTTTCAAAATGTTTCCTTTACTACGGGTGGTGTTCTTTAGGCAAATTTCAGGGCTGTGTACACAAGTTTGTATCCCTGGACAGAGGTTGCTTGTTCGGTCTGCCCCCTACTCCCATTACAATACTATCCCATGCGTGAAGTAAGTTTCATTTTGTTCAGTAGGGCTAAATCATGGGTAAATGTGCATACGCTGTTAGTTAACTCGCTCATTGCTGCTGTTGAGTGTCATTATACACAGACAGATACATGAATATGCCTTCTACTGAGACTAGCAAGGTCCGTATTGTCTACTCTGACTGGCAGTGGCTCTCCAGGGTCTCAAATGGAATTCTTTCACATCGTGTAGTACCTGATCCTTTAAACTGCAGTTTCTGGATATTAAACCTGGGGCTTCTCTGCATAAAAAGTAGACGCCGTACCTTTGAGCCATGATCTCTTTTTGTTTTTGCTTCTGTTCCTGCTTCTGTCCAGTCTTGCTTTCTACTGCTGTTCTGCATCTTCCTCATTTTAGCCCAGAATAATATCATGGGAACAGTATAAACACACACACACACACACACACACACACACACACACACACACACACAGGCCCAGGCAGGCAGGACATAACTACATCCACCTACTGCGCCATGAGCCACTAGGGGAAGGCTTCGGCCCTTACAGTGCATCTAGTTTGGTGTAGTGGTTAAGCGAGCATGGTATAGTGGTTAGGAGCAGGAGACTCTATTTGGAGAATGGGGTTTGATTCCCCACTCCTCCACATGAAACCTGCTAGGTGACCTTGGGCCAGTCAGAGTTCTCTGAAAACTCTCTCAGCCCCACCTACCTCATGGGGTGTGTGTTGTGGGGAGAGGAAGGGAAGGCGATTATAAGCTGCTTTGAGACTCCCTGAGGTAGACAAAAGTAGGGTATAAAAAACTATTCTTCTTCTTCTTCTCTGCTGGAGACTGTGCGTCGTAAAACCAAGGGGGCATTGAGTTGCTGCCTGCTGTATCTGTTATGAGTTGCACTGAAGATGAATATTCTGTGACAAGCTGAAGGAATAAATGAGGGAACTTTTGCACATGGATTCCATGGCTGCAGCAGTCTAGGACATTCTAGGGTTTTTTAAAAAATCAATAATTGATCACTCAGCAAGTTCTTAATAAATTCTTAATGTCTGATAACTTAGCCAAGGCTCCTCCCCCTTTATTTTTCACCACTATCTGAATTGCACATCTTCCTATTGCGTTTAGATATGGAAACCTGGAAACCTCAAACTGTGAAGAAGATGGGAGTCAGAACTCTGCCGAGACCAAAACAGTACTCAGGAAGTAAGTGTTGCTTTTCTCTGAACAGCAAAAAATAAATAAATAAAATAAAATAAAATTCACAGTCTGGATTCAGTACTAAGAAAAGGATGTGGTCAGTTTTTCCTTAGAAAACTATGCACCATTCTGCTTATGGTACAAAAAAGAGGTAGCAACTGTCTCATACTGTACCAAAGATCAGAGGAAGGAGTTGAATTCCATAAAGGAGGCTGTGCAAAGGGACCGGGCTGAATAGATGAAAGACCATGGACATGAGCCAGTCAAAGTAAAGCTCAGTGCCCCCCCCCCCCAATCTTTTTCATTAAAATACATGAGCTTTAAAAGTGGATAAGGTTGGCTGGTATTGTGTCCTGGTTGGTTTTTTTGTTTTGCCTTTGTCTTATGCTTCATAAGGGAGTATCACTTCATTTATTGCGTACTGTTTATCCCACCCCCCCCTGCTGTTTTGCCAATAACGTTCCATACTGCCTCCTACTACTTGGTGCCCAAGCACAGCCAGCTTTCTTTTACCTTGGAATCAGGGCCTGCAGCTCTTTTCCCTGCTCAGGCTGGGGTGCTCCTCATCTTGACAACATTTGACAGGAGTATATATCAAATCCAGTGTACATAAACTAGTCTGTCTTGCATCTCCCTTCTGCTTCCGGTAGGCTGGCAGCCTTTAAAAAAAAAATTAAAAGCCAGAGCATGGGTGTTCATTTACTTGAAAATTCATTTGTTGCCCTACCTGTAAGTAACAGAGTTTATGAGTTTCAACTTCTCTAGTAAAGGAGGAGGGAAGTGACCTAGTAGCATTACAGGGGTCAGACAAACATCTGTCTCTGTTAGGGTTGCCACCTCTACATTGGGAAATACCTGGAGATTTGAGGGTGGAGCCTGAGGAAGGCGGGGTTTGGGAAGGGGAGGGACTTCAATAGGGCATCATGCCATAGAGCTGGCTTTCCAAAGTGGCCATTTTCTCCAGGTGGGCTGATCTCTGTCACCTGGAGATCAGTTGTAATAGTGGGAGATCTTCAGCCACCACCAGGATGTTACAAAAGTAGCGAGATCACAGGACAGGTTGTCAAAGTATGCACACAGTGAAGAATGATGAAAATTACAAATTATATAAACAAATTTATGCAATTAATATCTCAGTTTCAATGTACCAACAATTCAACAATCTTTTAGTGTCCCTTATAAATTGCTGATACAGTCACATTCATTCATTCAACAGGTGAACTCCACATATTCCAATTATCAAATGTCCTTGGTATGATTTGACCTTGTTGAAAACTGGAAGCAACTGAGGTTGTCAGCTGAGCCATGTTTGTGAGCTTTGTGGAAGCACAGAATGGAAGATAAGCCGGCTGAGAACCTCTGTTGCTTCCAGTTTTCAACAAGGTCAGATCATAGCAAGGACATTTGATGGTTGAAATATATGGAGTTCACCTGTTGAATGAATGAACGTGACCATATCAGCAGTTTATAAGGGACACTAAAAGTCTAGCGTGCCATCTGGTGGTGCATAACACTAAAGAACTAGAACTTCTGGTTTCCTGACAATCTTAGGATCTCCTGGCTATTCTATACACCATGCCATAAGATAACTATTTAAGTTGATACGCAAAATGATAATGTCAGAGCAACAGTGGTTGCTTCCACACAGTGACGATCCTTTGTGTAGCTCTCGTCTCAACAGAGTGTCTATACGACATTTTCCCTCACATTTTTTTGTTTCAGACCTCATGACTGCCATCATCTCAACAACAGAAGTCTTTTTCTGGCTTTAAAAAAAGGGTAGTGACACTATTGCTATAAGATGGCATTGATGTGGTGAAGACCTTCAAAAATCAAGCCGCCTAGGGGAGAACTGGGAAATCAGATAATTAGAGGGTTTTATGCTTTTGGATGTATTGTGTGAGCTACCTTGAGGTCCTGTTTACAGGATGGAAGCTGGGATATAAATATTTCAAACAAATAGTGAAATAGGAAAGCTGTTTCTTTATGCTGAAAAATTTTATGCCTCCTATCCAGAGTACCACCTCGAGGCATCTTACAAAATATAACTTTAAAAAAGCACAATAAAAGCTAACCATTAAAAACCTAGAGGAGCAATAAAAGAAGCTGCTTGATAAGAGTTTCAAAATGGTTATGGGGCTAAAAATTATGTTAAAACATCAATCCCTTAATTAAAAGCCTGGGTAAATAGAAATGTTTTGGTGTGATGCCGAACAGCCTAGTGCAGGTGCCTGGCAAGCCTCAACGGACACTGCAGTGGCAAGGTGCCACAGCTGAAGATGTCCAGTCTCTGGTCCCCACCCACCTCCCCTCTGACAGGGGACCTTGTGAGGGAGATCTTAGGTGGCGGGCTGGTCAATATGGGGAGGAGGCAGTTCTTCAAGATCACAAAAAATGACACCATACTGAATCATAGGGTTGCTCTTCGGTGGGGGGAGCACGAGGGGGGTGCGGGGGGGGGGGCGACGTCACCACGTGCGATGTCCGCAGTGTGGTAACATCACACAGAAGTGAAATCATCACGCCAAGGACCTCACGCGGCAGTGCTCTGGTAACATACCAGAGTGTCCTCAACCATAGGCCTGGCGGAACATCTCTGTCTTACAGGCCCTGTGAAATTGCACGAGGTCCTGCAGGGCATGGATGTCATTAGGCAGAGAGTTCTACCAGGCTGGTGCCGGGGCCAAAAAGGCCCTGGCTCTGGTTGAGGGCAGCCGGAGGTTCTTCTCTCCAGAGCGTAATGCTCTTCTGGGGTTTGAAGTGAGGTTTGATCTTTGTCTTCCCCAAACCTGGTCAAGGTCTTGCATTCTATCCAGGTGAACTGATCTTTGTCACCTACAGATCAGTTGCAATAGTGGGATTGCTCCAGCCACCACCTGGAGGTTGGCAACCCTAGGGTCTAGGTATGAGGCGGAGGCAGGCTACCAAACTGTCTTACATGGGTCTCTGGCTCTGAGAATAAAAACCTGGCAGTGAATAAAACCTGGGATTCTCTTCATCTGAAAAGTCTTACGATCTTATTTCCTCGTCTTTCAGAAAGAATAGCGTGGCCTCAAGCACATTATTAATCTTTCGGTGTCTTGAGAAAAACACTATCTTGGCATCTGTGCCGTGTTGGACTGACTCGAGGGTTTTTTTCCGATGCTTGGCATAAAATAGAGCTCTCACTATCCCCCCCTCTGCCCTTTTGTCATGAAGCACTTGTAGTGCACAAGATCATTTCAGCTATGTCAGATATGCCGAGGAGGCTGTGGCATAACGTGATGTGTAGATAAACTGGCAGAGAGCCAAAGGGACCCTGGGCATGACTCCAGCCCCGAGACACTGATTCTCTTCTCACTTTGGCCAAGTCACTTGACCTTTGTGTGTTTCGGTCAACTCAGCTATAAAACTGAGCTAAACTGTTGCAGAGACAAGGTTTTTCTCCTCAAAAACCACAATGGATTTATTTTGCTTAGTTTCATGGGAAATGAGTTACTTCCCATATGAGACATGGTGGCATGTGAGAGGTTTTTTGTTTTTTGTTTAACTCCATGATGTTTTAGGTGACAGATACGCTCCCGTTTCTGCAGTTGTGCCCGTGGAGTCAAAGAGAACCCTGCCCACCCCCACCGCATTGCTGCCGCACCAGGCAGGCTGCTTTTGTGCTGGGTGTTAATTAATTCCCCCCCCCCCTTGAAAATATGTCTGCCACCTCTCGTGATCTGTTCAAGGCAGCTCACTGCTAAAACAGTAAGACAGAATGATGCAAATAACAGTAAAAGTAGTACAAAACACATCCATGTATTCCATGGCTGCCAGAAATTCCTGTCAACCAGAGGCCCATGTAAGACAGTTTGGTAGCCTGCCTCCGCCTCATACCTAGAACCTAGGGCTGCCAACCTTCAGGTGGTGGCTGGAGCAGTCCCACTATTACAACTGATCTGTTGGTGACAGAAATCAGTTCACCTGGAGACAATATGTGCTTTGGAAAGTAGACTCTATGGCATTATACCTGATTGAAGTCCCTCTCCTTCCTAAAATCTGCCCACCTCAGGCTCCACCCCGTAAATCTCCAGGTATATCCCAACCCAGAGCTGGCAAGCCCAATTGAACAACCTCCCAGAACTACTGCATGATGCTGACTCTCATCAGACCTGAAGGCCTTTCTACAACCGTGTAGGTCCTCATCCCACACTGACACTAAACTTCATTGCCTGTAACTAAAGTGACAGTCTATCCTTCCCCAGTTTACTGTTGTCTCTTTTTTCCTCCACTCTCTATCTTGACTTCTCTGTGTCAAATTTTGATTGTAAGCCCCTTGGGGCAGGGCGCTTGAATGCATGCTTTTTACAGAGTCAGCCCATTAGTCTATCAAGTTTAGTATAGCCTAGTGGTAGCTCTCTGGGGGCTAAGTACAGGTCTTTCAGATCACCTGCTGCTTGATGCCTTTAAGTGAAGGTGACAAGGATGGAACCTGGGATCTTTTGCAAGCCAAGCAGTTGCTCTACACCTGAGCCACAGCGCCTTCCCTGTGTTCTACTATAAAATGACAGGCATGCGGATGGCAATATTGATGTAAATAATCATACAAGTAGCAAGGAGACAGAACTTACGGAACGAAACTTCAGAAGCAGTAATAATTATGCAGAATACTAGAACCTACAAGAGCAAAAGTGCAGCCTGTGTGATAGTATTTAGAAATATGTGTTTAAAAGAATATTAATAATGTATTCTCCAGATCACAACTTTTTTGTGGCGAGGAATCCCTCCCCCCCCTTTGCCTTCTTGTCTCCTGTTGGTATTATTATTCCTTCGGTAAAGTCTGGCGTCCTGTTTCAGGGTTGTATAAATAATTGTACCAAAGGAATGGACTTAAGAGATGGGACCCCTGAATGCATCTGAAATGAGTGAAAGAAGATTGGCTGAAGTTCTTTAAAGCTGGGAAACCCACAGTGGGATGCATTTTAAGTTTTGTTTACATTGTGTGCGATCAACTTTTCATTCTGCCAAAGGCTAAAATAACA